AAAAAAAAAAGAAGAAATCTACTGCAGATAAAGTTTAATACCGACAAGAATAAATAGTGTGATTAAATATGTTTTTTGTTTCTTTGTTTGTTTATTTTACAGAAATGCTGGAAATTATAAATGAATGTTCTTTATTCTTCTTCTTCTTTTCTCCATTTCTATACTCTCTCTTGTTTTTGTTTTTCTCTTCTTATCAGTGAAGTGGATCAAAACAGAAAAAAAAAAATTATTTTTTTCCTTAACTAGATCACGTGGAGCAGAGGATAAGATACACTTGCAAGCAAAGAAAAGAAAATCATAGAAATCACACATTGTGACTGCTCCCCAAATAATATTCTGTAGACATATATATATATATATATTTATATAAAAACATCTCTATCTATTTATATATCTATATATCTATATACAGTAATGTCTGGGGAAGTTATATCGGATATGCAGCGCCCATCGAGTGGTAGTGGTGGTTTTACAGCAGCCACTAATACTAATACTCCTACTGTTAATACTACTATTCCTAATAGTAATGTTAATACTACTATTCCTACTAATAGTACTAATAGTATTAATAATAGTACAGCTACGACAGTACCAAAGATCCCGGCTGGAATGGATCCAACCTATTACGCGTTAAGTCTTCTCCACCGTCGTCGTCTGGATGCCTGTATTGCTGTATCCACACATTATCTAGATCTCTTTCAAACTCAAATGCGGCAAACCTCTCAACGTGGACAATTCAATGGAGTACATGAGCCCTTGTGGTTTATACAAACCAAAGCTCTCGTCCTGCAGAATTGGTTTGATGAACTCGACGTGGATGATGACGGCGTGGATGATGTCCTCCTCGACGGCGAACAGGCCATTCTCTCCAGTGCCCCACGGCCAGGCACATCTCTACAAAACCAAAACTCACTTTTACAGAGAAATACACAAACACGAACGGGAACTCGACAAGGAACGGCAAGACCTATTAGTAGTCGATATGGCTTTGCACGGCCGGGAACTCAAAGTCAACGAATTGGCACTTCTTCTTTTAATAATAATAATAATAATAATAATAATAATAATAATAATAATAATAATAATTTGCGGCCCATCACATCTCGATTGGCTCGCATTGGCACCGCATCTCTACAAGCCGTTCCAGGCGGTCCACATTTAGATGTGAGGAAGATTGATTTGGAGAAATATGCCCGCACAAAGCCGATGGTGGCCAAACTCCTCTGTGATTATCTCTTGCATGTGGAACACCAACCACGAATGGTGTTGGAATTGGGAGGAGTGGCATTAGAATTACAACAACAACAACAACAATCATTATTATCATTAGAGCAAGTAGGTATGAAAGATTGGTGGTGGTTGTCAAGAGTGGGACAGGCAAATTATCGATTAGGACTTTTACGAGAAGCTGTACGAAATTTTAAAGCCGCATTGGAATTACAATATAATACGGCAGAGGCAATGCGATTAGCAAAAGTATTTATGAAAATGGATCAACCACTCACCGCCTTGGAAGTACTCACAGATGCTTCTGAAAAGAATCCAGTAGATCATCATATTATTCTTGGTATGGCTCGTCTATATGAACAACTACAAGATAATGAAAATGCATATCAGCTCTATAAACGGGTTTTACAACTTGATAGTAGTAATGTAGAGGCTATTGCCTGTATTGCGGCTCATATGTTTTATGAAAAACAACAACCCGAACTTGCCTTACGTCTCTATCGTCGATTACTTCAAATGGGTATTCAAACTACAGAGTTATGGAATAATTTAGGTCTCTGCTGTTTCTATAGTTCACAATATGATATTGCCCTGAGTTGTCTCTTACGTGCGGTTGCCACTGCTGGGGATGATGATGTGTTAGCAGATGTATGGTATAATATTGGACATGTTGGGATTAGCACCGGTGATCGCACACTTGCCCATCGTGCCTTTAAACTTGCCGTTGGGGCTAATCCACGGCATGCAGAGGCTTTAAATAATCTTGCGGTTTTACAATCTACACTTCCACAAGGTGGACAGGCAGATGCGGATCTTGCAATGGCATTAGCCGTAGACCCTGAACAACATGAGTCTCTTTACAATGCCGCCTTACTGGCGTATAGAGCCGGGAATTATGAGAAGGCGTATAATTTACTTTCACAGGCATTAGAGGTATGTCCAGATCATCCACAAAGTGTGGCGTTGAAGGGAGTTTTGCGTACATCTCTCTCAGCCCTATAATAGTAGATACTACCCTACTCTGCTCTACTTTACTTTGTATGTATGTGTGTTTGTTTGTTTATTTATTTATTTCTTCTTGGGATTCAAAGGCTTTTTTTTTTTTTTCTCTTCTTGAATTGTGCACGACAATTGGAAAGAATTGGATATTTACTTTTTTTATTCTCTTCTTGTTGTTGTTCTTATTGACTTCTCCAGTCTATCTTTTCTTTTTTTTTTCTTTTCTTTCTTCCTTTCTAATTGTAACGGTATTTGGTTATTTATCGTATATGAATAACCAAATATACATAAAGCAGGAGGAAATAGAGTAAAGAAAAGAGGGAGTTGCTCATATATATATATATATATATATACAATAAAGAAAGAAAGAACAAAAGAGAGAGGAGGGAGAAATATAGAGAAAATATTACAAAAAAAAAAGTATAAACGTTAGAAAGGGGATACTCACACTATCTCTTTATTTGTTTTTCTATCTATCTCTCTCTCTCTCTCACTCACTATCTCTCTATCTCTCTCTGTACCCGTCTGTCTGTGTGTCTGTATATATATATAGATTGTATTATATAGATATGTACCACGGTTCAGAAGAAGAACTGCGGGCTGCAGAAATGGCAGGACGGGTGTATGATAATCTTTGCACAAGTACACCCATAGAGTTACACGGTATTCGTCAAGTACACACAGGCCACGTGGGCGGCGCCTCATTAGATGGAGATAATGAAACTATCTATAGTAGTCACAATACATCCACACACCAACAACAACAAACACAACAACAATCTCAACAACAACAACAACGATCATCATCATCAACAACATCACGCCGTCGTGTTGGTGGAGTTCACTCTTCTAGTGTAAATTCCGTAGTGGAGATTGCACGACGGGAGTCGGTATTACGACAAATATATAATGATAAACTCCGTGGAAGTATAAATGCCATCTTTACAGCATTACTGCAGGAGTTACCGCGTGATCATATCTTTCTTCAACTTTTACATGATTCCTCTACTGAGCAATACTGCAGAGTGCGGGTTGGAGAAGTTGTGGAGAGTTTTCTCTTCTCTGTTCAGGCCCATCAATACCACAACCTCGCGGCGGAACTCGCCAAGCGGGAGGTGGAACTCCTCACACTCTCCACAGAACTGGAAACGCTTGAACAACAATTACACGCCTCTCCACCTATCAAATCCAGTAGATCTATACAAACAGATAATCGTGTTAATAGTGGTATGAATACAGGAGAGGACTCTCCTCCCTCTATGCATACAGGAACAGGAGGAGGAGGGAGAAATAGTCAAGATCCAATGGAAGATCCCGCCATAGCGGCAACAGAAGCTCATAATGAACTCCTTTTACTCTTAGAAGAAGTTACCCGCGAGCATGAACTCGCCAAGTGTCGTGAATGTTTATCTGCACCAACTTCATTACTTGAGATGGTTCAGGCAGAAGATAATTACCGTGATAAATATGAATATCTTGCAGATATTGTGGCCCATTTGTTTCGTTCCGTAAAGGGATTTGTGATGTATGCAGAGGGATCTCTTGATAGTTTAGACTCTCTGCGCCACGGTCTTAGAGGTGTGTCTGTTGCTAGCACTAACAGTACTAATAATAATAATAATAATAATAATAATAATAATAATAATAATAATAATAATAATAACAGTCCTTATAATGAGAATAATGAGAATAGTGATAACAGTGGGAGACCACCATTTTCCTCAACCACCACTGAACCGTTAATCTCTAATGATACTAGACGTTCACCTTCTTCTGCATCTCAACAACAACAACAACAACAACAACAACAACGGTCATTGGTATTTGAAGAGGAACGTGCCCGTCTGGAGACACTAACGACGCAGTTAAAGTATGCTCAACGCCACTGTGGAGATCTCATTATAAATTTGGGAAAGGAACAAATGGAATTACATCGACGTAATGAGGAATATCATCAACAGATTCAACATTTACAACAAATAGCGATGAGTAAAGATACACGAGATTTAAATAAAGCTTTAAAAGCAAATGAATCCGCTTTATTACAATTACGTGAAGAATTACAGCAATCTCTTGCAAAAGAACGTGCGAAGAGTTTAGAAAAAGAGGTTGCCTTACAAGAGAAATATGCCCAACAAACCAGTGAACTCGATCAAACAAAAGGTTCATTAAAAACTATGGAAGAACAACTACATATAGAGATAGAGCAACGAAAAACAGCTGAAAGACGTTTACGTGAATTAGAAGAAATGATAGCACAACAACAACAACAAGATCATCTCAGTATCACGGCGGCTGCAGATATACGACGTCGACTTGAATTGGAAAGAGATACAGCGGAGTCTAAACTCTCTACACTCTTACGTGAACTTGTCGTTCGCCGTGCAGAGATTATAATGGCACGACAGGAGTCTATTGTAATGGATGCGTATGTGTGTAAATCTGATCTTCTCACTACACACGGTTATGAACGAGCCGCGGCGGAGCATCACTACACATTATTATTAGCAAAGGAGGCGGTTCGACATGCACAGAGTCAAACAGTAGCCGCGCAGAGTACCGTACGGGAACGGGAGGAAACCGCCCAACAGTGTTATGAAGACTTGCGGCAGTTGTTGGAATGTATGCGGGAAGATGAGATGATGGCGGAGATGCGGCTGCGAGAGGAAGAGGCCGACACTGAACTCCATCGCCATTATAATTATTATGATTATCATAATAATAACAATAAAAACAATAAGAAGAAGAATATCACTCATGCGGATGAGGAGGAGGAAGAGGAGGAGGAGAATAAGGATAAGAATGAGGAGGATGTGGATTACAGTCATGAGAATAGAGAGAAGAGTGTTGTTGGATCTACTGGCATACAAAAAGAAAAAGAAAAAGAAAAAGAAGAAAAAGAAGAGGAAAAACACAAACAAGAGACATTACGTTTACGTTATGGAATTCCAAAGACACTCACAGGAATTGCATTGGGATTACAAAACGCCTATGAGGCTATTCAACGCAGTCAACGTCATGTTCAAATGAATGCAGAGACCGTTAAGGAACAATTACGACAACAACAAGAAGAAAACACAACATTACGTCAACAACTCCAACGGCTTACAGATGATTATAATCAACAACGTGCAAACTTCACACGATTGTGGGATGAACAGACGGTGTGGGCTCAACAAGATACATTAAAGAGTCTTCTCGCCAGACAAGAGGCCCTCTTAACAGCCGTAAACACCGAGCGAGAGGCCCTGCAGGCCCGTTGGGCAACTTTGAGTGAAGAATATCAAACACTCGAGCGGCGCAACTCACAATTGCATGAACGGTGTGCGGCGAAGGAGGCGGAGAATGCACGACTGGTGGGATTTCTGCGGGCCCAACAAATGACTCCTCCACCATCACGGCGTAGTAGTAGTAGTACACTCTCCCAATCTCAACAACAATCTCAATCTCAACAACAACGACAGGAGTTTATATTGACATCCTTATGGTCTCCGCCTGTAGCCACGGTGGGGCGAGAGTCATTGGATGAAATGCGAAAGGGCATGAAAATGAAAAAGACAACATCCATAGCCATAGATGAACATCATGAAGAAGAAGTAGCCGAAGAAGAAGAAGAAGGGTATGGAATGGGAAAAGAAAGAGCAGAAGAGGTAAAAGGTTTAGAAAACAAACAAGAAGAGAGAGAAGGCGTAAAAGGTATAGTAGGAGAATCACCAGATATTCCGCATCGTATCTCACGTGCCTCATCCAGTGCTGCTGGACTCAGTGGTCCTGCACGAACATCTTGTGAGAGTGCCACCACAGATGATGATTCTCCTGCTCCTGTTAATACTACTGTTACTATGAATACCACTAATAGTATGAATACTACTGGGGTTGATAATTATAGTAGTAACTATAGTAGTAGAGGGCGAAATAGAGGAGGGAATGTGGGGATTGTAGTACCACTTGGGCAAATACCACGTGATGGTGGTGTCTGGCGCACGGCCTTTCGTAATGGACGAGGATCATCATCACAGCAACAACAACAACAACAATAATAATAATAATAATAATAATAATAATAATAAGAACGAGAGGAGGAGAGAATACATAGATGATGATAATGATGATTGTCATTATTATTATTATTATTATTATTATTATTATTATTATTATTGTTATGATTGGTATCCGTAATGAGAAATTGTTACAATATACGAATGGGTGTAATTTTTATTTATTTTTATTATCTCCTTATTATTACCATTGAGGTGTGGGGAATATATATATATATAATATGGATAGGCGGTGCTCTGAAGAAGAACACAGCATCATCATTATCATCATCAGTACTAGTGATGGATATATATATATATATATATATATATATATATGAATAGAGTCTTTGCAAGTGTATTGTGTGTACTTTAAGCACAAACATTGCATTTTTTTTCTTTTTTTTGTAGTTGCATAGTGAATGAATATACCGAAGCGAAGAGTCCATCCAATACTCTCCGAGACATATATATATATATATAATCCAACAAAAGCCTTCCACCCTCTAATTATCATCTTCACATCCTCACATTTTTTTTTTTTCAATGTGAAGTCTCTTATCCAATAATCATAATAATAATAATAATAATACCTCTTCTCTTTTTCTTTCTTTTTCTTTTTCTTGTTAGGCATCTACCGTATGTACTCTTCTTCTTCACAACAACAACAACAACAACAACAACAACAAAGCCATATGAAGCTGGAGAGCACACGGGCTTATTTAGATCACACATGTGTGCCGCTGTTAATGGAGGCGATGGCCGCCGTCTCCCGTGTACGGCCAGATGATCCCATTGATTACATTGCACACTATTTACTTCAACACAACCCAAACCGTCCAGGCAATCACAATAACAACAACAACAATAAGTAGTAGTATTAGTAATAATATTAACAAATTGTGATGGGAGTGTGGGAAATAAAGGGATTTTTTGTGTAGACTTTATAGATGAACCACATGTACTTGTTGCTGTTGTTTTTTGTTATTATCGTCATTTTTTTTTTTCTCTTTTTTTCTATATATATATATATTGTTTTTATTTGTTTTCTTTTTGGGTCAATATTCTCTTTGCTCTGCTTGACAAACTCAACGTTATGATTTATTCTTCTTTTGTTCTTTTTTATTGTTTTTTTTTTTCTTTTTTTGTTTCCCTTTATATATATATATGTATATATAATTGTATGATATTTAGTTTGAATAGAGGGTAAGTGTGTGTGTGTGCCTGTTTGTGCGGCTGAAACTGACAGTATAAACCATTTATATACACACATTTATTATACATATATAAAGAAAGACAAAGAAAAGAGAAAAAAAAAAGGTACGATAGGGATATTTTTACTCCTTTCCTTTTTTTTTTTCCAAAAGTATTCAATTATCATCCCCAGAGAGATACATACGTGCATACATAAACAAACAAATAAACACACACACACACACAACTATCGCAGTATTTCTGTATATATATATATATTTATATATATCAAAGTATACTTTATTACAAATCTCATCGCCTAACAAGAAAAAAGAAAAAAGGAAAAAGAATCTCATGTTCTCCAGAACTAGTGGTATTCCCAGTGTCAACAGCAACAACAACAGCAATGCTGCCGCCACTTCTCAATCCAAAAACAATCCACTTGTGGCCACCGCCTTTCACGCAAGTCTTGATAGTTTATTACTGGAGGCAACCCGACATCGTACGATGAGTCCACTGCGTGATGCGGTGCAATCCGCTCGTCTGCGGGGATTCTCCGCGGAGGATATTTTTCACACCTTTGTGCTTGCTTGTGATATTCTGCACGGCCGACGACAATACCGTTCACTTCTTTTGCAGAGTCTTAGTGATTTGGGAAAAATGGCCTCATTGCGTTTATTGCCCATTACAGGAAATGTATTAAATGTGATTTGTCATCTCGTGCGAAAATTATTAGGAGCTGGAACGGGTAATACAAATACGAATAATACGAATATGAGTAGTATGAGTAGTATGAGTAGTGGTGCTGCTGCTAATACTGCTGCTGCTGTTGGTGTTGTTGGGGCTAGTGGTAGTTATAGTAATATTAATTATTCTCTTCAGAGTGGTTTGCAAAGTACAACTTTACGTGGAGTGAGTGGAATTGAAAGTTTAACCGCCTCCGTTTCATTGGAGGAAAACTTAAATACGGATGTGGATATGTCTGAGGGATCACCTTTTTATGTAAGTACGTTGGGTAATACTTATAATGATGTGAGTGAGGCATCTCCTTTATTAGATGAGGAAATGCGCATGCGAATTTTACAAATGTTAATGGCTTATTTATCAGCCTGTGTGTTGGGGAATACGGCTTTGGCAGATATGATGGGTATTCTGTTTACGATTTATTTACAATCGACTGAGGGATCAATGGTGGAGGCAACGTGTGCGGCAACGATTGAACAACGAACACAGGCCGTCCTTCGCAGTCTTCGTAATAGTAATAATAATAGTAATAATAATAATAATAGTAATAAGCAGAAGGATAATAATAATAATAATAATAATAATAATAATAATAATAAAAGTGGTGGTAATACTCAAGTAGAGGATGATAATGCTTCTCTCTGTGCTCAGATACAATCTGTGGCCTATGTGAAGGATGTGTGTAATATCTGTGCTGGATCTCCACCTAAATGGTTAAAGTTAAGTTGCTATCGCAGTGGCTCCACTGCCATCTCCACATCCAACACTCATACAGAACCCTCTACAGCCCTTCCACGTCGATTACGTATTCTACTTTTACAAACATTAATTACACACTTTAATGAGAGTGAACCCATCACATCTGCACAACAATTAAGTATTTTCTTTGCACAGTGTATTAATGAAGATGTGGTATCTCTTGTGTTGGGACGTGTGAAAAGTAATAGAGGAAGTGTACAATATGAATCTATGAAAGTACCACAAGGAAGAGGAGAAGGCGAAGGCGAAGGCGAAGGAAATAGTCTTGTAGATCTCTATCCTTTATTAGATGATCATCACGATGAAGAGGAATTCTATCTCACACAAAAACTTGGAATCACACTTCTCACACGAGCCCTTCCTGTAATGCGGCATACAATGCCAACACTTCTTCGATATCATGTAATGTTGGTGAAACTCTGCAGTGAAGGCGATGTGAATGAAGAAGATGCCAGGCGAATGGCAATTGTGTTAACACTATGGCGAAAAGCCATTGCCGATCATCGATTACTTCGACAATTATTACTACTCGCTTCTCCTAATAGTGGAAGTGGATTGGAAATTCACAATTCTATTTTATTTACTACTACGAATACTAATACTAATACTACTACTAATACTAATACTAATACTTCTTCATCACCAACTCCAGCTCCTCCACAACCAACAGTATTATCTTTATCATCACAACAACAACAAGAAGAGAAACATCAACAACATCAACGAGAAGAAGAAAAAGAACGACAACGACAACGACAACAAGAGGAGGATGAAGAAGGAGAAGAAGAAGGATCGCCAGGAAGTAGTAGTGTTGAATTCTATCCTATACGAACTGCAGTGGCACAACCCAACTTCTCACCAGAGTTAGATACAATTGCCATGGAGGATTTGGATGGATCTCGTCCCTTTGCAGATCTCGTTACCGCCGCTGCCCAATTACTCGCCAGTATTATCGCAGCAACAGAGGGAATGTTGAATCTAGATGCCGTTGCGAGAAGAGAAGAAAAGAAACGTACCGCCGCTCCTCAGAAAAGTATCATCACAAGAGATCTCCTTCGACCTTTACAACTCTCCATGACATTAGCTCATCAATCTCAATTGTATTCTTCACTATCAACCCAACACCAACAACAACAAGCAAAACAAATAAATCAAGATACCAGTTTCAACCCTTATTCGGATAAGGCGTCTACATATGATTTAGAAGAGTTGCATCCAGCTACAAGACAAACAAATGATGTTCTCGCTTTCTTGACAATGTTTACACAAAGTTTTGCTTGTATTGTGGAAGAGATATCTGTGGAAGAAAAAACGCCTACCACTCGTACAGTTCGTACTCATGCGATACCTACAGCTATATCTACTATGATGACAGATTCTAATAATTTACAAAAAGAGGCAATAAATCTTTTTCTTTCTTTACATCCGCCTCTTCTTCGCAGTTTTGCTCTTGCCACTCAACATTTGCAGGGGGATGATGTCATTCACACCATTCTTAAGGGATGTACGCATCTTTTAAAGGTATCCTGTACATTAGGATTACCAGCCCAACGGGATGGATATTTGCAGATATTTCTCTCACGTCTACACATGGAAAAGGAATCACAAACACCATCACTGGGTATAGATGGAACCTTTACATTACAACGAAAAAAAAATCCTACTTCAGAAGAACGTTACTCATCACAGAGTGGAAAATCATCTGGATTAACTTCCGTAAAGACAAATGATGTAATGCAACGTTCACTTAATAGTCTACAGCAAAAATTATATGTTTTAAATTGTGTTATTTCTATTGCGAATAGTATGGGTTCTGTACTGGGAGAAGGATGGCGGCCTATTGCTTCTTGTTTACTTTTAGTGGAACCTCTTCTGCAGGATTTTCGTCGATTTGCAGATCCGCAATTACAACAACCGCAATCTCAACAACAACAGCAGCAGCAAACCCAACAACAATCACAACAACATCAACAATCACAGCAACAACAACAATCACAACAACAATCATTATCATCATCCTTACAACAAGGAATGATGGAAGAAATCACATTACAAGATGTTGTTCGTAATGCCAATCATGTGCGGGATGCGTTACATCTTCTCTTTATCAACACTGCACTCGCCCCGGATCCCACGGCGTTAGAAGGTCTTCTTGTGCACTTTGTGGCCGAAGCCTGTGGGACCCAAGGTAACAATAATGATAATAATAACAAGAAGAAGAAGGGTAAGAGTCACAGGTGTAATGTTCATATGAATAAAGGAGATTCTTTGTTATCATTGCGTACGGCAAGTGAGTGTTGTGCTCTCGCACTTATTGCTGCAGCGGGCCGACGTGCGGAACCTCTTCCTTTACAACGATTATTACGTTTGTGGGCTGCTGTCCGTCCACTCTACCGTCATGCGCTTCTCAATCCACAATACTATTATTATCATTATTATCGTTCTCATCATTATAATCAACACCGTGGTGTTGAGGAGTTACTCCAGACGATGGAACGACTCGTTGAGGATATCGCCGTTGTGGCTGCACAGTTCTGTCGTCGTGTGAATAGAACTACTAATAATAATGGTAATAATAATAATAGTAATAAGAATACAAATACTGCAAACAGTGGTAGTAGTAGTCCTGGTGGAAAAGGAAGAGATGAGGTGGTGGTATCGCAGCTTGCCGTTGGACCGTACAGTACAGCCGCTGTGGTGTTGCGATTTATGAATCTCTGCCCAGTGCCTTTACAGACGCAGCGGGATGTTTTCTCCACACGAGGGACACACACATTAACAGAGAGTTCATATGATGAGAAGAGTGAGAATGCAATGGAGGAAAGTGAGGAATTAAAGCAGCAGTTGTTAGCTTTGCCACTAGAGTTGCTGGCTACAGTATTTGATCATATGCAGGAACTACCACAACAACAACAACAACAACAGCAAGAAGAAGAAGAGGAAGAAGAAGATGATGATGAAGAAGAAAAGTGGGCTACAAGTGGTGGTAGTAATAATAGTGGTAATAATAATAATAATAATAATAGTAATAATAGTGAGTGGTTGTTAACAATAGCACGTGGGGTCTCACTTGCACTATTGAAAGAAGTATTAAAACTCGTTCAAGGCTTCGGTGAGGAATTACGCGGTCCGGCGTGGGTACATCTTCTGCAAATACTACGAGGAACGGCATTATTGCCTCAACAAAACACTACAGCCGCTCCTTTAACAACAACTACTATGACAACAAAACCTCAACTTTCTCATGGAGCTGTTACTATATGTGGAAAACAAGGTATAGGTATTGCCTTTCGTGCATTAGAGACCATTCAACATTCTTGTATTACGAGTTTAGATGATGAAGGTCTTCGACAACTTATTCGATGTGGAGGTGCTTTCATGACGCACAGTCTGGCTTCTACGGAACAACGTCTTAATATTAATCTTAGTGCTGTACAATTACTTTGGTCTATTGCGGATTATGTGGTTTCACGTGAAAAGGATGGTGAGAAGAATGATGATATTCTCTGGTGTACGCTCTTTCTACAACTTTATGATGGTTGTATTGATGTTCGACCAGAAGTACGACAAAGTACACTAAAGACACTCTTCTCACTTGTACAAGCCTACGGTGGACGTTTCTCTGCTGATTGTTGGCGTTGTGTATTACATAGTGTGTTAGCATCATTAATGGATATTACTATGCAAGCGGCTAATGCTTGTGCTATACCTCCTCCTCCTATGGTTAGACCTACTAATAATAATAATAATAATAATAATACTATGATGAATACAACTAATAATACGACGACTGTTGTTGGTAGTGTAGCTCCTAATAATAATAATAATAATAATAATAATAATGTTGGAGAAGAGGAACTTGCACCTCAAAGAAGTGGATATGTGGCTTTAGGCTCAACTCGTGATAATGTACCTTCACAACATCGACGATGTGGATCTTCAGCATCTGCTTCTACACTCTTCAGTGATGCTATACAGTTACTTCAAGGATATGATGGAGAAGAGGAATTGCGTATTGCGATATTATTAACACATTTAAGTGAACATCCCAGTTTTTTTGATGATATGCGTATAACGATTATGGATGCGGTATGCCGTGTGTTTGTTTCTCATCATCGTGCTATGCATACCGCACTTCTTATGCAAAAAGGAGATTCCCAACAACGTATGGACAATGAAGCCTTACTACATGATGTCATGTCTCTATTTATTGAAGTTTGTGGAGGTGTACGATTAGTAGCACGAACAACAAGTGGAGAAACAGCGGCTCTCTCTGCTGTACGTGCACTTCATGCCTTAATGGCAGCAACAGATGTAACTTTATTAACAGAAGCGGAATTAGAAGCGGCATGGACGGCCATTGAACGATTAATTCGTCGTGATAATGAATGTATGCATACAGGACGTAAACAATGTACGGCGGCGGTGGTAAGTGCGGTGGTAACATCACTAGGAGATGTGGTAAGTATGCGATTGATGGGATTACAGAAATTACAACAACAACAACAGCAACAACAACAATCCGTAGGAGTTGTACTTCCTTCTGCAAATACGGCCTTTTCATCCGCTTCATCCTCATCATCTTTCTTTGATCAATTACGTCATGCCTTTACACCCGCATCTGTACGGTTTAGAAGAAGAAGTAGTAGTATTAGTAGTACGAGTAATAATGGTAGACCACGGCATAGTTACTTTCAAGAGTATCATCGTCTCATACAAGAATGTCTTCATTCCTTTGCCGTAACGGATTCTTATTTCTTTCCTAGTAGAGTACAAACTGCTGTGATTGGGGCATGGAAAATGCTTTGGCCCTTTTTAACTGGAAGTGATCAGAACACTGTGGTGGATCTTATTTTGCAGCAATTCCCTGCACGTCATGCTATTCAAGCATTTGTAACCCAACATGTGGCCTTTTCAAGTGTAGGGACATTGTTAGAGGAATCAGGATCCTCAACAGTGGATATATTTCCTAAGAAATCTCCATCATCACCGCAAACATCATCACCACCACCATTATCATTATCATCTTCAGAAATAGTACAACCATGGTCATCCCAACAAAGACGACGTGCGCAACCAGTGACATTACAGGAATCGGTTCCACCAGGGGCACATCCTAGTTTTCTCTTGGTGCTTATGGATTTTCTTCTTTTGATTGCCTCTGATCATAGTTTACGTGGAGATGAGGAAGAGAAAGGGAATGAGCAACAACAACAACAGCAACATCAACAACAACAACAACACTCTGAGTTAATCGTTCGTATTGCACCTATTGTAGTTCGTCTGGCTGGGGCTTTGTTATTATTAGAGTATGCTCCTTTAGAAGTATTAACGACACCTGGTCCTGGAGTGCCATTTCATATTCCTTCTGAATTCTTTGAAAAGACAGAATATTGTCTTCGTTTCTTTCTTTTAGTGGTTCTCTGGGATATGCCTTATACATCTTTATCAGAGGTACAAACACAATCAACAACAACAACGACAACGACGACAACAAATATAGACAGGAGTAAAGTATCTGCTGCCCTATTATCTACAAGCCGTTCAGATAGTTTATTAGCTTTTGCCACTACCTTCACAACATTGGTTTCTCTTGCTAGTACCATGTTAAATAATGCGGAAGCAAGAAAGAGTCCTGTTTTTACGTTTAGTGACCTTCCTTTGCATTTACAGCAAGCATTACAGCGACTAGAAGGATTAGTACTTTTGTTGAGTAAACTTATTCCACATGTTATTCGTTCTTCTGGAGATGTGAGTGCCGCAACGGAGTTACTCTCTGTTCTTATCCCATCATCCTCCGTAGAATCTCCACTCTTCGCTAGTGTGGCCAGACGTAGTTTAGATGTTCTCCGTCGTTGGTCTGTGCCTTCATCTCCACTCCATTCAGACACCCCACCACTACCTTCATTAGGGACAAGTTTGATGTATGATAGCATGTCCTTATCACAACAACAATCCCAAAGATTACAACAACAACAACAAGAGGGAAAAGAACAACAACATGGACATCAACAATGGGAAATGCAAACCGTTGGAAAAGTAGTATCTAGTGGTGTGTTAGAGACATCCATGGGAAGAGAGAGTGTACTCACTTTTGCGGAAGGTGAGGATGTGAGTATTATGCTGCAGAGTGTGGCCCGGGCATCTATGGGAGCTCGCAACCGAGCGGTACTGAGAAGATTTTTACTGAATAACAACAACCCAGAAGCACGTCAAATGGCGAAAACAACATTACAAACACTTGTTTTATTATACCCAAACAATATACAACAACAAGATCAGAGACTTGTGCAGCAGCAACAACAACAACAACAAAGAGGGATACTACCACCAGGTGAAAGAAGGGAGAATGTAGAAGGTGCTAACAGTAATGATAATGATAAAGAGGAGGATGAGAATACAGAAACTCTTCAAGGAATTCTGCTAGAGTTAGTGCGTCTTGTTGAGTATACTGGTAATGATGCAGAGTTCCGTTCACTGCTTTCAAGAGCCATGCTGGGCGTTTGTGCTGCCCTCGGCTTTTCCAATACTGCATAAAACTGAAAAGGAGATATGAAAAAAAAAAAAAAAATAAAGAAATAAATAAATAAGAGGAGTACATATTTGTTAATACGTGCATGTATGTATATATGTATGTATGTATGTTTTATCTCTATATCTCTGTGAGCGACTGTGTTTGTTTGTTTGAATGAATGAAGGGTATAAAAAAGAAAGAAAGAGTAGCATGTGTGTGTGCGATTGTAATCATGCGTGTAGTGGCAGAAGGATATGGACAAATGTGAGGAAGAAAAAAAAAGATGGCATGTTCATCTGATAAAAAGTGTCATACTTCTTTTATTATTATTATTATTATTATTATTATTATTATTATTATTATTATTATTATTATTATTATTATTCCTATCCTGTGAGTACGTATTGGTTTTGCTTTGGATTCCTCCTTCGTTTTTTTTTTTTTTTTTTTTTTCGTTGTTGTTGTTGTTTACAAGTAGATTGGTTTAAAAAGTGCTGACAACAAGACATTGAATTCATGCTTTCTAAATTGGGATGAGGTGAAATTAATCCAGTACTCTCATAAATACTCTAAACAAGATAAATTCTATCTCTCTCTCTCTCTCT